CGGGCCAGCTTGGACAGAAACCCGACAAATTGGCGCACCGAGTATCATGTTGGAGCCCGCCCGCCACCTATCCCGATCCAGGCCGTGGACCAGGCCGTCTAGCATGTCGCTGGGACGATCACTTACAAAGACAATCGCTTGCTAAATGTTTTGAGCCATGGTACGTCGTTGCGCGCGCAGGCCGAAGGCTACGCGCAAGACTTCTGAGGCCAACTACGCATGCAAATATTCCATTGCCCGCACGAACTTATGATTTTCTGCCCACGTCCGCTTGTGGACCGATTCGATTCGACCAGGCCTTGCCTTGCCATGCGACGCAGATAACCCAATCGATGACATAACATTTGCCCTGCGCAGCACTCCTTTGCAGAGGCCGGCGGGCCACGCGACCAGCTCGAGCGCACGTGGGGCGACGCTTCAACGATCTCGCGGCCTGGGCGAGGCTGCCATTAAGGAAATTCGCCAGCCGCCCCCCCCCCAGACTTGACGACCTTCACGGTTGACGAGCATGCGCGCGCAGAGGCGCGGCTAGCGAGCCATCGTCTGCACGTACACCACAACCTTCTGCACGGATGCCCGCATCACCACCCTTCCTCCGCTGCCTTCGCTGTCCGACGCGAGGTTGAAGGCGGGCGCGCTCGCCGGGCACATCGACGCGCACCTGCTCTGAGACACCCAGATACCTTGGCAACACCCTCCGCGCAGTCAGCTGCCGCGCCGCGTTGGAGACCACACGCGCGGTTTCGCGCGGAAGCTGGCGAGTTCGCGCCCGCCTGCGAGGCGGTTGCCACAGAGTTCGCTGGAAGGCCCCCCTCGGACATCTCCCCTCACAGCTTCGGGCGACTGGGAGATGGGGATTTCGCTGGGCGCTCGGCCGCCGCGGCGCCGCGGATGCAGAAGCTCTGGCGGGCGCGCTGCCTCCGGCGCCAGCCAGGGACGAGAACGCGCCGCCCGCGGCAACGGATGGTCGATGGACAGGATCAAACGCGCAAAGCCAGAGCCACACCTGTTCGCTCGCCCCCCAGTGGTTTCGAGCGCGCAACCCTCGGAGCCCAGGCTGCAGCGATGCTCGCCAGGACTGACAACGAGCTCGTGCCAAAAGGCACAGGGGCTGCTGGGGGAGTCGGCACTGGCAGCGCAGTGGGGCAGGCGGGGAGGAACGGCAGTGGCAGTGGTGGTGCGGAGGCAGGGTGGGACGGCAGTGGCGGTGCGGCAGCGGGGAGGGACGGCAGTGGAAGCATGGTGGGAGGAGTAGGGAGGGACGGCAGTGGCAAGATGGGGAAGGACGACAGTGGCGGCGCGGGGAGGAACGGCAGTGGCAGACGAGCGGGGAGGGACGGCAGTGGCGTGGGAGGAGCGGACATGCTAGGAGGAGCTGGGAGGGACGGCGGTGGCAGCGAGGAGGGGGGGGATAGCAGTGACGACCGCGCGTGCTTCCAGCGCTTGGGGGCGATAGAAGCTGACCTCAGCTTGTGGCCGCGACGGCGGACGGGGGCAGGCGCGGCGTGCATCGCATGTGGCAGGATCGGGCTGGCAGTCCTGGTCACCAGGGCCGACGGCAGTGGCGGAAACAGTGGCGCTGCGACGGTGGGCGGCGCTAGAGGCGCGGTGGGAGGTGTGGGAGGAGTCGGCAGTGGCAGCGGTGTGGACGCTACGCTGGGCGGGGCGACAGCGCACAACCAGCCGGCTCCGGCAGTGGCAGCCCGGTTAAAGGCAGTGGTAGCAGCGGCGGCGGCAGCGGCGCGGCGGGAGGAGAGGGAGAGGACGAGCGCAGCACTGGCAGCAGTGGAGCGGGGAGGGGCATGGCGGGGAGGGACGGCAGTGGCAGCGTGGTTGGGGAGTGGCAGCTGGGAGGAGGGAGCGCCAGCAATGGTAGCACGGAGGCTGCTGATGAGAAGGTGGCGGAAGAAGGAGAGAGGGGCGGCAGAGGCGGCGGCGGAGCGGGAGGGCCAGGAGGAGGCGATGGAGCCCGAGCGACGGGCCCTGCTCAGCGAGATGTTGTCGGCGAAGCTGGACCCTGCCATCGGGAGCAGCACAAGCGAAAAGGGCGAGCCGTGGCATTCGACCCCGGCGCTACTCAGCGAGACACGGGAGGCGCGACCGGACCTCACCGGCATCATGAGCTACAGCACCCCGATCAGCACGAACGAGAAGCGCGTGCAGTGCCAGCTGGCCCTGGCGCTGCGCGACATCCTTTGCTACAGCACCCCGATCAGCGCGCGCGAGAAGTGGCAGTTGCAGCCGGCCGTGGCAGTGGCAACACGTTGAGAGACAGCGGCGGCAGTGGCGGCGGCAGCGGCACGATAAGAGGAGAAGGAACGTGCGAAGACGGCAGTGGCAGCACGATGTGCCGTGACAGCGGTGCGGGGAGGGACGGCAGTGGAAGCGCGGTGGGAGAAGCGGGAAGGTGCGGGTACGGCAGTGGCAGCAGCAGCAGTGGGAGGAGGAGGAGGAGGAGGAGGAGGAGGAAGAACTTCACAAGTAATTGCCACGATCAATGGCGTCGCCGTGGGCCCCGCAAGCGGCGGCGCTGGCGCGCGGAACGGCAGCGGCGGCGGCTCGGGGAGGGAGGGCAGTGGAAGCGTGGTGGGAGGAGGACACCCGACAGATGCGATGCAGATCTACGTTTCCATAATCGCGGGGCAGAGTTTCTTCATGGACGTGCACGCCAGCGACACCGTTGGCGATTTAAAGGAACACATTCTGCACCAAGAGGGCTTAGTCTGCCATGCCCTGCTCTACAAATTCCAAGGTCGGATGACGCTGTTTGCAGACAGCCGCACCTGTTCGGACTACAACATCCTGGGGGACTCCCGCCTGATAGCCACCATCCCGCCTGGGAGGCAGGGTTGGAGAACCTGGTCACCCTCCGCCTGCGTCGGTTCTGTCCGGGACTGACGTAGGCGAGGGCCCCACATGGTGTACCAGTGGGGGCGTGCAGGGCAGGAGCGGCCAGCGCTGGGTGTCGCGGGCCTCGGGGGACTTGGGGGCGGCTCGCAGGCGCCAGCAGCCGGACGCCGCGCACTGCCCTGCCTGAGGCCCCTGGAGAACAGGGAGGCGTGAGGGGCAGGAGTGGCTGGTCCTGGGTGCCACGGCCCGCGGAGGATTCGGTGGCGGCCCGCGTTCAACTCGTTGCACCACTCAGGTGCGTTCTCCCTAGAGTCCCCTCGAGAGTCCAGCGCTGGGTGTCGTGGGCCTCGGGGGACTTGGAGGCGGTGCGCAGGCGCCAGCACCCGGACGCCGCACACTGCCTGAAGCCACTGGAGAACATTGGGGCGTGTAGGGCAGGAAGGACTGGTACTGGGTGCCGCGGGCCGCACAGGATTCGGTGACGTCCCGCGTTCCGGGGGGGGGGGAAAGGAAACTGCTCCGACCAGGTGCCCCCAGACTGGCCATGCACTGCCCTCCCCAGACGGCGCGTGGCCTCCACCGGCCTGCGGCCACAGTTTTGTCCCCAGCCGTGGCGCACCACATGCCACGCTTCTCGGTGGCGGTGCCCCCCTCCTGGCAGCAGCGCCGCCAGTGCCGAGCTGCCGGATGCCGCCGCCCCGCCTGCTAAGGGTGTCTTTCAGGCGGGGCGGCGCCTGCTAAGGGTGTCTTTTAAGGGTGCCGCTCCTCCCCCTCGCCCTCCCTTCCCTCTCACCCCCGCGCCTTTTCCTCCCTCCCTCCGCGCGCCGCAATGGCGCCGCTCGCTGCAGCCCCTGGCGCGCAGCTCCCCCTGGTGACTGTGCCGGTAGACCCTGCGCTACGGCGCATCCCCAGCCCAACACCTAGCGGGCACGGCATATTGCTGCTGGCAATCTGGAACATGGACTCCGCTTCTCGGCACTTGCGGTACCTAGTCGTCCCGTTCCTGGACGCCTGCACTGTCATCAACCTGCTTTTCCTCGTACTGGGCATCGGCAGCGCCCGTGGATGCACCGACGCTGCGGCTCGGCTGCAGCCGCGGTCCCACTGCCGCTGCTGGCCGCGCCAGCGCGCGCGCTCGAGGTGAACTCTTCCACATCTGAGTGCCCTCCGCTCCTCTCCCTCTCTGCGGCCGCATCGTCTGTCTTGCTCCCCGCTCTTGCATTCTGGCCAATTCGCCTTACGGTTGCCCCGAATCGCTTCTCGCTGGTACGGAATACCTCTGCCTCGCCGCCGACGGAAAAAAAGTGCCAATGATGTGTGCCACTGCGTCTGCTAGGGCTCTCTGTACTCCACACACACACAGATTGCACCAACGTGATTGCACCACGGTGGTTGCACCACACAAGTTGCGCTGCGGAAAGTGCACCACACCGGTTGCGCCGTACACAGTTTGTACCACATAGATTGTCACCCGTACATTGAACCACACATTTTGCGCATCCGCTAGATTGTACCACAGAGATTGCACCCCATGTAATGTCGCACCGAGTAGATTTAATCGCATTGGTTGCACCTAATAGATTGCAACACAGAGATTGCACCCCTTCCCAAGGGCTAGCCTTCAATCCTGAGCTGTTACCCGACGGTCCTTGAGTCCAGTGAAGGCCACGAAAGGCTGAAAAGGACCACAAAAGTCTTACCTTATGATTTTGTTCACGATGCAAGGGGGTCTGGGATCCGTCCTCCTCCTTCTCAGCGGAGGAGGAGGAGGCGGAAGAGGAAGAGGAGGAGGAAGGAGGACGATAACGGGGCAGGAGGAGGACGAGGAGGAGGAGGAGGAAAGAGGAGGAGGCAGGAGAGAGGAGGGAGGGAGGGAGGCAGAGGAGGAGGACAAAGGAGGGAGGAGGGGAGGAGGGAGCGAGGATCAGGAGGATGACGGAGTGGGACGAGGAGCAGGAGGCAGGCAGAGGAAGAAGGGAGGAGGAAAGATGGAGAAGGAAGGAAGATAGGAGGGAGGGGGGGAGGAAGAGAAAGAGGGAGGAGGGAGGAAGGAGGAACGGAGGAGAGACGAGGGAGGAGGCGGAGGAGGAAAAGGCAAGGAGGAGGAGGAGGAGGAGGAGGGGACGAGGAATTCGCGCGCGGACAAGCTCCAGGTGAAGTAGCCAGGCGACCCGGGCTCCCGCCCGAGGCAGACGCCGAAGCGGTCGATCCCGAACTTCATGAGCAGAACGGCCTCGGACGACGACGACGACGACGACGACGACGACGACGACGACGACGGCACTCACGACCACCACCACAACCACCACCACCACCACGACCACGACATCGACCACGACCACGACCACGACCACGACCAGGACCACGGCGGCGAAGACGGCGGCTGTCGAACTTCATGAGCGAGACGGCGTCGGCCAACGGAAGGGCCTCTGGAGGCCTCCCGAAACCCAGAGAGGGCCAAGCAGGGCCAGAAAACTTGATCTACCTCCTCCCCAGGAGAAGAGGAGGAGGAGCAGCAGCAGGAGCTAGATGCCCCACGGCCGCTCCTCCTCTCTCCGTCTTTCCTGTTGCACACATTCTGGGGGGGGGGTCCTGTCGCCGGTGCTCAGGTGGACTGTCGCCCTCACCCTGGGCACTGATGAAAAACCTTCTCGATAGGCAGACCTCACCCTGCTGGACACTGGTCCCAAAGTTGGACAGGTGCCAGGGTCGCGGATCCAGCAGGAGGGGGAGAAGCAGCAACAGCAAGAGTCGGCAGCCGTATCTGAGCACTGCACCTACCGGCCCAAATCCTGGGAGGGGCCCGAACAACGCTGGGGCATCAGAAGCTCCAAGCAGGAACTGGCGAAGTGCCTCCCCACCAGAGAACCCCTGCCCGTCCCAATCGACAAGCGGAGGACACTGCTTGGGAAACCCTTGCGGTGCCTCCAGCAGTTGACGTGCGCACTCTCGCAGAGAGTTTGCAGTGTGGCTTCATAAGAGCAGTGCTCGACTCTCAGCGCGCAGCTGCCGTCGCCCTAAAGAGCGGCAACAGCACGGCGGGAGGGCGCGCGTGGAGCGCGAGCCCTCAAGCGTAGGCCTGTCGCACACAGCAGTCCCTACCCTCGTCGACTTCGGCTCATGGAGGGAACTGGGCGCGAAGTTGCATGGGAAACCCAAGGAGCAACGAAGAAGCCGTGCCCCAAGGCGGCACCAGCAGTCTCCAACGCAGGGAGGTCAAGAGGGCATCTGGAGCTGGGCCCTGCCCCCCAATACCGAGCGCAGGCGGTTGCCTGCCAAAGGGGGCAGGCTGGCAGGCCCTTCACCGGCGCAGGCTGGAACAGGATGTGATCCCCTCTGGAAGAGCTGCCTGGTCTGCTCTCCAGAGGTCTCGCACGCGCGTGTCTGGTTTTGATCACGCTAACCCATCGTGGCTGCTCCACGTCTACCAGCTGGCCCGCCCAACCTCACTTACGCAGCACTTGCTTATGGGTGTCAACTGTATGTCTGGCTCTCGCTTCTGCCACGTGGGTGCCCCTCTGCAGGCAGTGAACATTATCATCGTCCAGGTGCCTCACAAGGCTGGCGATGCGACGGCGCAAGGCCCAGCGGGTGCTGCGAAGCATTCGTTTTTTGATAAGGTGATAACCAATGGTTCACAGCACATCAACGCCATCTTGGTCACCGTTGCGTCAACCAACTGTAATATTTGAAATATGTATGCCCCCTTCTCCTTCGACATCTGCTTATTGTCAGTCTTGTGTAAAGCGTCTCGGAACACGTCTGTTGTCGCGGGCACGGAGCACAAGCAGATCGGTCGGGCAGGCAGCTCCGGGGTACTGAGCGGCTAAAATGTCTCGAAACAAACTACCATCCATCCCGCCATTTACCACCATTCGCCGTCTTATCCTGCAACCCACCATCATTCACCCCGTCTTTAATCCTTGATTCTGCGCGTTGCCCCTGTCACACAGCATCAACTCGTTCCCCACAGGAATGCATACTGCCATGCTGCCTGCGTGCAATCATATCCGTAAGATTTCGTCGCTGTACTTTTTGCTCCCAACGCTCTCGACCTTCCCTCGGAAATTCATTGCGCGCGCAGGGGTGGCAGTCCGTTGCTGCCCTGGTCGCTCCATTTCAACCGTACCTGAGCCCTCCTCCGCCCCTCACTCCTTGAATCTCATCGAACAGGGCAGCCGCCAAAAATTTACCACTTGTGGAGTCATGGAGGCCCAATCTGCACCGAGGTGGCCCGAACCGTCCGCCAACAGAGTAGAACCCAACCTCCCCCCTCCGTCACCACTTATCCCTCCTCGCCCTTCTCCCTCCTCCCTCCCTCTCTCCCTCCCTCTCTCCACCTCCCTCCCTTCTCCCTCCCTCCTCCCTTCTCCCTCCTCCCTCCTCCCTCCCTCTCTCCCTCCTCTCGCCACCTCCTGTCATCCTCCTTCGACCTTCCCCGCGTGAAAAACAACAGGGGCCGCGGTCCCAGGGCCCCCGACGGCTTCATGTTTACAGCTGCTGCCCTCGTAATCGTGAAGCGCGGGCATGAAGAGCACGAGGCAGTCGTTCGCATGTCTCTCGACCATGTTGCGGCAAGTAGCTAGCAGTCCCAGCTTCTTATTACGCATTTTCGCGGTGAGCAGGTGTACGATTCGAAAGTGCGTAGGCTGATGATGGCGATGTCCGAGCCCGCGCTTGAGTATACTGTCATTTCGCTGCTGAAGAATAGCTAGAACCATCGCGCGCGCTTCGCGCGCGCTCGAGTTCCAGCTAGCTTGAAGGATAGCGCGTAGAGGAGGGAAGACGAGATGTTAGCAGTGACAGGCAACCTGGTCGACTTAGCCACGATTGCGTCCTTCGTCCGTCGTCCTTCGTCCGTCGTCTGTCGTCGTCGCCACCCTCGTCGCCGTCGTCTGCGTCGTCGTCTGTCGTCCGAGGCGCTCTTCGTGGCCAAGGCTGGCTTCGTCTCGAAATTCTTGTCCAAACGCACCCCTGGGCATCGCGGCTTTTTGTTTGCATCGTGGGCTGTCTGGGAAGCCTTTTGGGCGTCTCGGGGGGAGGGGGCCACGAAGGGCGACAGCGGGACCACGAAGCGCACGCATATGGTGCCACGACGAGCGCGAACGAGCGGGGGGCCACGAACGGCATACATATGTGGGGGCACGAAGGGCAGCGAGGGGGCCACGAAGGGCTGCAACGGAGCCACGAAAGGCAGCGAGGGGACCACGAAGGGCCGCAATGGGGCCACTAAGTGCAGCGTGGGGGCCACGAAGGGCTGCAACGGGGCCACGAAGGGCAGCGAGGGGGCCATGAAGGGCTGCAAGGGGGGCCACGAAGGGCAGCGAGGGGGCCACGAAGGGCTGCAAGGGGGGGCACGAAGGCCACGAAGGGCTGCAACGGGGCCACGAAGGGCAGCGAGGGGCCACGACGAAGGGCTGCAACGGGTCCACGCAGGGCCACGAAGGGCTGCAACGGGGCCACGAAGGGCAGCGAGATCCAGATTCCGAAATAAGCTGCGAGGGAGTCCTCAGCGTGAGCGCGACTCCTGGGTGTCCGAGTGTCGGGAGCGCGGCGCTTGAGTAAATTGCGGGGAGTTCCAACGGAAGGGCGCTATTCTTGAGTGAATGTCAAGCAAGTCTCCCGCGAGATCGCGACTCCAAAGCGCCGAGAGAGCGATTCCTGAATACGTTGTAAGGAAATCCCAAGCGAGAGCGCGATTTCTGAGTAAAATGCGAGGAAGTCTCATGCGGGAGCGGGGGTCCTGGCTGAATTGCGAGGAAATATGAAGCGGGAGCCGTTGTTGTTGTAACCCGGGGGCCAGGGGCACAGTTTGAGCCTAGTGACTTTCCTCGACAAAAAAAACAAAGTGCGAACCCCGGGAGGAACACTTCCATTTAAAAACAGCGGTCACCAGAGAGGGGGGATCAACAATATTTATTCTTCCGTAATGAAAAGTCACTGGGAATTCAACAACAACAACAACAACAACAACAACAACAACAACAACAACAACAACAGCAGCGACAACAACAACAACAACAACAACAACAACAACAACAACAACAACAACAACAACAACAACAACAACAACAATAACAACAGCAACAACAACAGCAACAACAACAACAACCACAACAACAACAACAACAACAACAACAACAACAACAACAACCACAACACCAACAACAACAACAACAGCAGGAGCAACAGCAACAACAACAGCAGCAACAACAACAAGAAGAAGAAGAACAACAACAACAATCATTTTTAGACTGTTCGCCCTTATCTGCTCGAGTGTCGACTAACGCGAATTTCCCAAACCCAAGATACCCGCCCTTTTCGTCTTCGATCGAACTCCTTTTGGGGGGTATACCTTTCTTCCCTGCAGGCCGGGCCCCGGCAAGCGGCGGGGCCGCCGCGGACCGTCGGCCTGGCTAGCGGCAACGCTGATCGGCGGGGCGGCCGCGGACCGTCGACCCGACCCCAAGAGGGACGGACAGGGGACCGACCACGACGACGACGACGACGACGACGACGTCGACGACGACGGCAACGACGGTGACGGCGACGACGACGACGAGCGAAAGCGAGAGCGAGAGAGAACGACAGCAGAGCCACGAAGGGCACGAAGTAGGCCACGAAGGGCGACAGCGGGGACACGAAGGGAATGCGTATGGGGCCACGAAGAGCGCGAACGAGCGTGGGCCACGAAGGGCAGATAATGCGGGGCCACAGAAGGCAACGATGGGGCTACTGAGGGTAGCACCTGGGCCACGTAGGACAATGAGGGGGCCACAAACGGCGACAGCGGGGCCACGAGGGGCATGCACATGGGGCCACAACGGGCGCGAACGAGCGGGGACCACGAAGGGCATACGTATGTTGGGCCGCGGAGGGTACGGACGGGGCTACTGAGGGCAGCAACGGGGACACGAAGGGCAGCGAGGGGGCCACGAAGGGCGACAGCGGGGACACGAAGGGAATGCGTATGGGGCCACGAAGGGCGCGAACGAGCGGGGGCCACGAACGGCATACATATATGGTGCCACGAAACAAAGTGAGGGGGCCACGAAGGGCTGCAACGGGGCCACGAAGGGCAGCGAGGGGGCCACGAAGGGCTGCAACGGGGCCACGAAGAAAACGGGGCCACGGGGGCAACGAGGAGGCCACGAAGGGCTGCAACGGGGCCACGAAACAAAGAAAGGGGGCCACGAGGGGCTGCAACGGGGCCACGAAACAAAGCGAGGGGGC